TCATGGGTATGTTTTAAGACATCAGCATTTCCATTCGGTTCCGTTAGCAACTTCCTTGGTAAACATGTACGCGAAATGTGGAAGTATAAATCAAGCAGAGAGGGTTTTCAGTTTCAGAGCTAAGCAGTGGATGGAGTTGCCTCTGTACAACGCAATGATCTCTGCTTATGCATTGCATGGTAAAGCAGAGGAAGCCATTGCACTATGCAGAGGCCTGGAAGGAATGGGCGTGAAACCAGACAGCATAACCCTTACGACTGTCCTGACCGCATGTAACCATGTAGGGATGGTTAAGGAAGCCGAGGAGATTTTCTCGGGCATGGTATCGAAACACGGAGTGAAACCTTGCATGGAACATTATGGACTAATGGTTGATCTTCTTGCCCGGTCCGGGCAACTAGACAAAGCTTTTGAGCTGGTTTCCGAAATGCCGTACCGGGCGGATGCACGGATGGTGGGATCTTTGCTTGCTTCTTGCAAAGAGCAACGTAAGACGAAGCTCGTCGAATACCTGTCGAGGTATCTGCTTGAATTAGAGCCTAATAACTCGGGGAATTACGTGAGATTATCGAACGATCATGCCGTTGAAGGGAGGTGGGAGGAGGTACTGAAGGTGAGGGGGCTGATGAAGGAGAAAGGGATAGAGAAAAAACCAGGTTGCAGCTGGATACAGATTGGAGAAGAAGTCCATGTCTTTGTTGCCGCTGGTAATAAGCACCCGAGCTCCATTGAAATACAGGGGATGCTAGCCTTATTGCACAGCGATATGAGTTCAGATATTGCATAGATTTTTTTAAGAATTTGTTTTTGCATAGATATATTGTAAGAATTTTTTAAAACTAATATTTACATACATGCATACATACATATATTTATCGTCTAGATTGGAGTGAGAAAGGAACAGATGGGCCACATCAAGAGGCCCACAAAGCCCATTCTTTATTAATATTCGTGGTATAACAGATAAGACCTCCGTCCCAAGGAAGAAATATCAACGAAACAAAGCGAGAGAGAGAGAGGAGATGAAGAGAATTCCGCGTATTAGATTTCCCCAGAGACACTCCAAATCTTCATCCTCTCCACCTTCTTCAGGTTTCACTTGCTCTATATATATATATATATATTACTCTATTTATCTGCGGATTCTCTATTGTTATGTTGCTTTATGAGATGCCATTTTCCAATTACTCCCTCTGAAGTCTTTTTTTTTTTTTTTCTGAAAATTTTGTGGGTTTCTCACAGTTCTCTTACCCCATATTATTATTTACTTTTGTTTTGTTTTTGTTGATTTTTTTACCTGAATTTTTTTTTTACGACAGCAGGAGGATCAAGTGGGTCTCCGGCGGCGGTGGAGGATCGTCGGCGAAATGTGACGGCGAGTTCGGAAGTTCCGGCGCCGCCGAAGAACACTGCTGTCGGAGGCAAAGCTTCGGTTCAGCCCAAACGCACTCCTCTCTCCGACAAGGAGATAGAAGCCATAATGGTAAAGGCCACAATATCTTAGATTACTATATCCAATTTACTAAATTGGTTCTACTCAGGGCAATGGATAAAGCCGAAGAATTGGCGTGATAGTAAATTTGGTAAACTAGGAAAACAAAAATATGATTTTGGGTATTTTCCAAATATGAAAAAAAATACGTAAAATAGTTGAATTGGTTAAGTTAGCAAATCTGTTTTTTTTTTTTTTTTTTTGTTAAAACGGTAAAATTAGCAAATCTGTGTTTTCCATAGAAATCTGAAGTTATCATTTCTACGTGTAAATTTGCAGCTGGGAGGTTGTTTCTGAGGATGGTTTCATGGAGTTGGAAGGCTTTGTTCATCCTCCGAATAAATAAAATATTAAATCCAGTCTGTGTCTTATGCTCTCTCTATCTTCCTTATGGTTTCAAATCTACTAAAATGGCGGCTGCAACGACAACTGTAATGTCAGCAAAGAACAGAAGAAAAAAATATTGTAACGCATAAGAAACTTGCATCAACCGACGTACCGATCAAATTTTGCACACGAAAGTTCAATTCCCATGTCCGGAGACGTCTCGATCTCAAGCAAATGCCCGAGAACTCGTCTCAAACAACACAACAGCTGATTCACATGTTAGAATAAACACAAGATCGAGTGAAAAAAGACCAAAATGAAGAATCAAACGACTGTTTTTCAGTTGGAAACACTCCCGAAATGATGTCTTGTGAACTGGGTTCGTCATCGATACGACTATAGCTCAGTGTCACATAAGCGTATCATCAATTCAGATACCATTCTCCGAGCAAATGGAATGTAACTGAGGCTGTACCTGAAATATATTCAATGCCCCCATATCGTGTCAAGATCGTATAATTTGGATCACAAACTCCAAAATATTTCCCAATATGAACCATGCCCTCCCCTACAGGCCAGTATATAGTTTTTTAGTTGGAGTTTAAGAATTGAACATACCAAATAAGAGCACAAATCTCGCTTATGATCGCAAGTACTGTTAAAATCTTGCTGTGAATCTGCAAGAGGAAATGGGAAAAGCTTTCAGAAGATTACGAATTTTGAAGATTAGTATTATCATTCACCGGATGCAAGACTATGAGAAAATCACCCTGACTTCTAACATTGCCCAGATTGGAACCAACGGCCTTTTGGGATTTTCATAAGAGGGTGCCAGAACTTACCCAGAGAGCGCAAATGAGTGAGACCACGACAGATCCAAGGTAAATGGCAGTAGCATAGACACGAGAAGAGTCGAACATCATATTTAGCTGTTGCTCAGGTCCCATGAGGAAGGCTGTGCTGCCAAAGAAACATCTCGTGAGCTTTTCAAAAAAAGCATTGTGGAGGTAGAAATGGCAAAAGATTAAATGAAGAGAACATCACAAGATTCTTATTTGACAACAGAAATATCCGAATTCGATAGTAAAAGGAGAGCAGTCATATTTATTCTAGCAACAGTGGGACATCCATATAGTTTTAGACATTGATTCTTTGTATAGAATTCCACAAAGCTAAATGTCTACAAGGCTAATGATATGTTTTCTTTTGTAGAGATCACCAAAGAAATAATCAGAAGCTAATCGAATTGCTAGGAGATACTTTGATCACTCGAATGCACTGTCAATTTGTTATGTGGCTTCGACTATAAGTTCGATTAGTGGCGTTCATGCGAACAGACCGAAGGATTCTCCGATTATAGGCTTCATCTAACAAATTTCAAAGATGTAAAACCAGAACATTGGTCTCTACTAGCGATGAAACAAAAGAAGTATTACAAAACACAATGATTACGCTAATTAGTTTCATCACAGGCACGGAAATGGGTTCGTGAACGACCAAAAATCATCAAAGCATTGGTCATCCAAGAATGCAAACGCAGTGACAATGTCGCAATTCAAATCTTTCAGATTCGTTCTGCTCAATAAGTCGAGTTAACGTACCTTCCAACAGCGAGCACATTGCCAAACGTAAAGAGCAGTGCAAATTTGATGGGCTTAACAAACACGATCAAAGACTGCAGAAGAAGAAGAAAAGGACATACAAACTCAAGCTGGCTTCGTACTCAACAGATGATCATCCAAGTCCCTTAAAGAAGATGTGAATAGTATATTGCGATCACCCAAAGTGTGAGAAATGCAAACCCTTAATTGAAAAAGACGAACAAGCCATACGGGATGCGTAAAAATCTCCGAAAGGATCGAACTATATATCCTCGTGCTTGACGAACAGACAAAAACAATCTTCTAATTCTACGCCATTAGGATAATTTATCACTAGTTTATGCATCAAATTGGAGAAGAAAGCAAAAATACAAGGCAATGATATGCTATAACAATCGTACCAGAAACATGAGCAGCAAACCAGCGGCCAAAGAAGCGGCGAATCCATACATTCTCTGCAAAATTGGAGAAAATACCCATGACGGAACCAAACGATGGCAAGCTCGAAGAGAAAGAACCTAGAAATCGGATGTAAAAAAGTCTCAGAGCGCCAAAAATTGAGAAGAAATCGGAGGAGAAACCTGGATCGGGGAGAGAGAACAGAGGCCTTCGGATCCGTCTTCGAGAAAGCTATCGGTAGTGTCTCCGGCGTCATCTCCGCCGGAGAAGAGCTCGTTCAGCTTACGCATTAGGGTACTTTACTCCGTCGATGGAGAAGATTCCGACGATCAGAGGAATTCCCCGTGGAAGACGCTCGTCTATGACCCCCAAGCCCAATAACGACGTGTGAAAACGTGTATGTTATACAAAATAAATAAATAATTATTTTATTTATTGAATTGTTTAATTTAATATAATAATAAAAGGGATATTCTCTATGGTATTTAAAAGGTGTTTTTAATTAAAAAATTTAATGGAATTACCAATAAACCCGTCTGACATTTCCCACACTTAATTATATTCCTTGTAATTTAGTAACAATGCAACAATTCAATTACATGGTACCTCTTATGAAATTTTAAATTATTACCATACAACATAATAGGTAACACTGACAGTTAAATTACATGGACTCAACCATATTATAAACCCAACTGGTAAAATATTGACATTGGATTCATATGCTTCCAAGGGGCATTGCCATTGGACGCTTTTGCCAACTTATTGGACGAACCCTCTCTCTACGACAGCGGCTTTGAAGCTTCGGAGAGATTCCTCCAAGTCGTCACACAGACGATGAGGATCAGTTATGACCGTCGGATCAACCGTTAGAGATATTGTCATCTTGTCCAGGTAGCTCTGGAAATGCATCGTCAACGCCTGTAATAAAGACCATTAATTTCAGATTCCGAAGTTAAATAATAATAATAATATGAATATATAAACCTTGATCCATATCTTAAATCGTAAAGATGACATTGGTCCGACTTAACGTGTGGGTGACCATAAACACTTGGAGCCAAATACGCCATTGGATGTCCGTAGAAACTTATTTCTTCGACTGGGCCCATCATGTTCGAAAACGACATAGTGGTGTTCGACATTGTTCTGCTCATTATATCAGCTGCTGCCTGTAATTTGTAAATTACGATATCAATATCCCATCCCATTATCCATCAAATCAATGTTACAAAGTTATAGTGGGTCGTATATCGTATGATATATATCAAGAGCTGGAACCATATATTGTATGGTTTACGTGGGTTATAAAAAGAAGGGAAAAAACTCTAAAAATTCTTGAACTTATATTTTGGAGTAATATTAATTCCTAAACTTGTAGAGGTGCCTATTAATTCCCAAACTTGCAAAATTGAACACGTTAAATCCTGAACTTGTTAAACGATTCCATATTCGTCCATAGCATTATTTGGTAAAAAAAAACGAGTTGACCGATCCGACGTGGCGCGTGACGTGGCGAGCCACAATTTTACAAGTTTGGGAATTAATAGGCACCTCTACAAGTTTAGGAATTAATATTATTCCAAAATATAAGTTCAAATTTTTTTAGAGTTTTTGTGAATATAAAATATAAGTATCTTTTAATTTCTAAATTGTTTATGAATTGTTTTA